CCCAACCGTGGCGGTCGTTTGTTGTTTAATAACAGTGACGTCCAGCTGGCCATCGCAGACGTCTCAGCCGGTGGCTGTCTCATGGCTGGTGGAAAGTCGGCGACTGGTGAGAAGTCTGGTGCGCCCTCCTCCGTGCTGCTTCTGCTTTCCTCGGAGCAATCGAAGGAGCTGAGTATGCTTTACTCGGCTGCGGGTGAACTCCTGCGTCATTTTTGGGTCTGCCTTCCCACGACCACTGTTGCGATGGCGGAGAAAATAATTCGCATTTACGAGAGTTTAGGTCGCTTTGAGGCGACAAAATTGACGCCCTTTATTGAGTCGGTTGAGTCGACACTTTCCAATGCTGGTGTCCGAGGCAATGGAGGTAACGGAAATGGTATCTACCGGTGTCGCGTCACCGCGCATTTGGAATCACTTATTAATGCTGCCAAAGACAAATTCAACGAGTGGCATGCAGGCCAAAAAAGGCTAAACAGTAGTCAATAAGATTAGTACAAAAAACGTTTTTACCAAATAATATCCATATTTTTGAAGATATCTGTTTTGGTAGCCTTTACTTGTCACTCGCTTGTCAAATGAGAGGTTGGGTTTTCCGCTCATTCGAGCTATGACGCGCGTAGTTTGAATAGTGAGTTGGGTAGGTATGTAAATGTCTATCGCTCCAACTCTGAAAAGATGGTACTGGGCTCATGCTTTATGAATTCCGATCTTGAGTGGGAGCGGACTGAGGTGGTTCTCTCTGCTGGGGGTTGTGGTAACAGAAGTCATTTTCTCGGTGATGTTGGTGTTATGTTAGAGAGTAGTAATTCAAAACATCAGTCCTGCTAAAGGTTTTTTCAGAAATCGACAATTACCCCTCACTTGGTGTAAAAGGTTCCCGGTGGCGCATAGATATCACTCCCTTATGGGAGGTAGAAACAGTAATTTGGATTGAAATAGACAAATTGGATGTAAGCTATTGAATAAAGTGTTGCGAAAAGGACGTAATCAAGTTGGTGGGTGCATTCACGTAACCATCGGAATGAGAGAGTGGTTGGCCATGGTTTCAAGGGAGTCTCCAAGCTGGGAGGACGTGCTGTTACTCTTCGTGAAACGCGAAGCGGAAGAATGGGCTACCACAACTCCATTGGAGGTTTGCGCAACAGTCATTGGATTTGTTACCTGTGAACTACACCACAAGCTTTAACGGTGCTGACTTGGTACCAACAGCAAGGTAAGGCTTTTTATTTCTCCTGACTGTGAAATTGCGTGCAGTCATAGTGGTACCGTTCGTTTGTTGAGTGGCTACTTTTTATGCATTTAAGATACATCATGACACAGTATGAGTCACTAACACTAGCAACGTGGTAATTTTGGCCAATTGATGGAATAGTAACAGCTAGCAGAGTTAATGACGGTGGGGTGTGGCTCATGTATTTTACAGGGTTATCAAACGTACCATACCTACCAGCTTTATAAGCGGCCTTAAAGTTTATGCTACTACGCATTTTTGATCGGTACTTACCGGGTCCAAACGCATTCCTGTCTATTAAGGACTCTTTCTCAAATTATTAAACCATTTATAAATGAGAAACGAGTCTGTGTAACACTGTAGGGTGATGGGTATTTAGGCATATTTAGTAGCAACTTGACAATGCTTGTGTGAATTCAGGTTTAACTGGAAGACAAATTCCACGACACCAGCCCCAATCATAGTGAAAGTATTCACCCGAGATGGCGAATGCCAATTTGGTCTGTTATAAAATTACTGATCACATCCCAGTTGATGATGTCAGTGAAGAACATATTCGCAACATTTTTCTATTGCAATGAGTCCTCCAGTAGCTTGGCTAGCATTATGCAGGAATTCACTCGAATTTAAACAAATGCCATAAATGATTAGTTTGATGCTTTGGCTCCCCTCCTAACACGATCTCTGGAATTATTGCATGCTTGTTCACACCAATTTAAGGAAAATTCACAGAAAATACTTAAGTTGCTCATTTATGTGTGAAGACGAGTAAAAAGCATTTTGAGTATTTGTATACAATTGCACGACTCCACTACCCATTGTTGACCAATCGGACATTTGATTACACAAAGTGAACGTTGCGTAGGCTTCGAAACCAAAAAATTATTGTTGTGGATCACTGCACATGGCTCATGTATTTACTTCAAGTGGTTTTAATTCAAAATATTAGGATTAATTATAAAAATCAAGGAGTGAATGGCTTTATTAAAGTGGCACTTATTCAAACCCAACTAATTAATCCCTACATTAAAATATACCACCAGTTGGATGAAGCAAGTTAGAAAAAAAACATGGATTAGCTATATGCATGTATTTGTGTATATGCAAGTAAATATTAAAGAAATTGGATGTATTTGTACATATTTAAGCATACCACGGCTTGTTTTCCATTATGTACTATTGGCGTGAAAACAGGGTGGCATAAGGTTTGTGGGAGGGGAAAAGGAAATTAAAACGAGAGATATAATCACAGAGAGTGGTCAGGTTTAATGATTGCATGGACGACATCACAAGTGAGTCCATTACATGAGGACACAGCACTTGCCGCTGTTTCCAGAACTGCTCTCCTCCAGCTTCCTCGAGTCGTTGATGAGGAGGTCGCGCTTCAGTGGTGGTCGGGTGAGACTGGCACCGGGCTGGAGAGGAGAGGCGATGACTCCAGGAGCTGTACTGACCACAGGCTTTGCGCCAGTGGAGAGGAGAATGTGCGGCGGGACACGCCCCTGCAACCGCCCCTTTGCGGCCGTGGACGGTTGCTGGGAGCCCAGAGAATAGTAGGCGTTGTGCAGGTGCACATTTGTTTGGCCCACGCCGTTCGCTGAAGCTATAGTCTGTTGTTGATGGGCCGGTGGCGGTGGCGCTTGGGAACTTGGCTGAGCTCCGTTAGGGGCGCGAATCGGTGCAACTGACTCGCCCAACCGCGAAGTGAGACGTGGACGCAGCTGTGGCGACTCGGCGGCTCTCTTTCGACCGAGAGAATCCGACTTGTGTGAGGATAATCGGGGACCGTCGACCACTGAGGGATCCTTCAAAATATATCAAGGCTAAATGTGTCCTAATTTGTTTCGCAACGTATTATTCGGGAGTTGAATTGGCCAGCAAATCGGACCACACAATCTCCCAAGACGGAGTTAAAATCCTTCCACATTCCGACTATCCAGAGCAGTACGCTGCCCTAGTAAAGAATTAAGAACTACGAAGTTGGGACTAGGACAGCATCTAGCAAGACTAAAGGGTTTGCAATCTGTTAGTGGGAATTAGTGACTTATTGCTGAGTCTTTTATGATGCAGCATGAAAGAACGAACCTTCGAAAGTTTGCAATTCTTAAAATTTTCAATGCTTGCAATGCTGTGCTTATTGAGTGTTTTCTCCGATGCGAATGTGTTCAATTGAGAAAGCTTTATCCTTCAGCGGATTGTAAACCGCATCACTTATTTCGGTTGCTCTTCGCTTCAAAAGCTAAAATACTATTTAGGCTGCTCCTTAAAAGTCGTGTTGAACTTAGCATTATATAAAGTTGGAGTTGGGATTTAACAACTGCTTGGCTAAAACCTTATTATAAGGCGTGCTTTCACTCACTGAAAGGACTTGCGTGACGAAACTAAAATTGCTTACCGGTGCGGGCATAATTTTAGAAGGCATCATGGAAAACAAGTTGGCAAGAAAAAAGCCTCCGTTCTTCCTTCCTCCTACCAAATCCCATTCTTATTTATCGTTAAATTCGCGCTCCACTAGCATAGCTAACTTTAGTTGCGGAACTTATTTTGCTTAACTGCACTCTTCCGCTAGTTCGAATTAAAAAGGTCCTACTTAAAGCCTGTTGATCCCAAATTTCGAAAGATAAATAGTCTAAACTGGATAAATCATTTAAGAACCGAATTCAAATATAAAATCATGCGATATCCTATACTTCGGACTATTTATTCAAATAATAATGGCAGACTTTTCCCCACTATATTAAAATTTTTTTGCTGTACTTGAAGACTTGCGATCCGAAAAGTGCAACCCAATGCAATTTACCCTATGGGGAGTTCTGGAAATTCGGTCTATACCTTGCAAAACAATGTTATTACTGTTGACGGACTTTGGCATGATTGCAGAAAATTCCAAACCTTTGGCTCACTTTAGCAATGGTCCAAAACCTTTTATTTACTCCCAAATAGACATCACAATAAATCATTTGTCGGCAGCCACTGCCTTTTAGGGGGATGTAAAGCATGTCAGTGACTAATGAAGTAAAAACCAGCAAACAAATGTAAGGGTTAAAAAAGCACATTTAATCTAACGTCCCAGATCTCTAGGAAGGAGCATGCTAAATAAATGGGGTTTCCTGAGATACCCTATGAGCATGCCATCATCGCCCAAAGTTAGAACCTTTACAAAGAAATTTAGAGTCAGTATCACTTAGCAAATAAATTCAAAGTATTTGAATAAACACAAGTACTCACTGAGCATAATTGTGCAGCGTGTATTTGCTTCACAACAGGAGTAAACATCAGTCGAATTTATAAATAAATAGAAAATCATAGGCATTGCCGAAAATGCTGGTGGAAAGTGCAGTACTATCATGAGCTTTGCATTCGACAGAGCACTATAACGCTTAATTAATTCCTGCTCTAATATGATGAGCCTGTAGTCACTGGCTTAAACATTGTGCATTAAGAGATATTTCACTCGAAAACAAACTCACCAGACTACTTCCCTACAAGGTGTCGCGTGGTCACACATCAGACAGACAACAAACTCTCAGTGCTCATTAATAATGCGGACGGTAAACTCTCTTGTAAACCTGGAACGCACTCCCCAAGTCCTATGCAAATAAGATATCAGGTTTCTACTTTTTATTTGTAAATAGTGATGCTTAAAATAAAAGTGACTAAGAATTCGGTCGAAAACTTGTACAATTGGAATAGATGCATGTTTGAATGCATCTTTTAGGTGACAAGTGGTCAGTTCACGCCAGCCACCATCGATCCCTGAGGAGGACATGAACCCCAATCCCCTTAAAATCATGATGGCCTGTAAATTTTCACCATGCTTCTCAGGCGAAATATGCCGTCCTCTACTCATTCTTCTCGTTCCAAGGACATGAAACTATCGGTGGGGGAGAGACATGGAATCTGGTACACTGGCGGCAGTGCCGCTAAATCCTTCTCTTTCAAAATTGAAATGGATATTAAAAAGTGGCTCAGCTGTACTTAGCGCCAAAAGACACAACACACCATACGAGCTCTTCCCTGGAACCTGTTTCCGGGCGTAGTAAATGTCAGGATAATCCCAGATACTGATTTTGAAGAATATTGCAATATTTTGGCTCAACTCATCTCTCAAGAAGACTAGATGCTAGCACAAGAGTACTTCTACCGTAAACAAAAGGTAAGGAAAGATGACAAGGAGCGCACAGAATCCACAGAAACTGGCAAAACGCGTTTCGCGGCTCCCCTCCAACTAGAGGCGAAGGATGAACACTAGTCTAGTCTAGGCGCGGGGCCCGTCTACACGGCATGATTGGGAAATTCCTACGCACAGATGCCAACTTCCTGAGTTGGTTAGTAAATTTCAATGTAAAAATCATGGGGAGTCGGCTATGGCTCCACGTTACAACAACTGCAATGGTAGACCAAAAACCAAAGCCTTTTACCGAGGTCCTACCCGTTATGCTGTTAATACTTACAGTACCTTGTATTATATTGCACTGCCTTATATTTCTTTATATTATGTTATGTAAGTGCTCTTGTATGTTAAGCGTTGTAATTGAAAATGAGTGGATAAATCAACTACTCAGAAATACTAAGGAAATCCCAGAAATTTTAACTCGTCACTGAATGATACATGCGTATACATATGTGTCAAACCACTGTGGCCTAGTTCGTCAAATCGCTATTTCAAGCATAACAGTTGGCAGTGCAGTACTGCTACCCCAAAGCAGGATTTGGTCGTGCTTACAGGCGTGCTTTTGATTGGAAGAGCATTGGAAGGCCTCAAGCGCGCATTTGCTGGTAAGGAGTTGGAGGGTTGAGCACCCCATCGCCGGTGGGTGTCAGGAGGGGGGTGAGGAGCCTCAGGGGGATTGCTGTTGTGCATGATCGGGCCTCCGTTGGAGTCGTCAACTGCAGTCATCCAAACTGGCGTCTTCACGACCTCCTCCACAGAATCGCCGTCAGCTGTAGGCACGACCAGAGAGCACGTCTCCGCTTCCTGGCGCGCCTCCTTCCACGACAGTTTCGCCTTGTCTCGCATGCTTGTTCGTCGGATAGAGGAACTAGAGAGCAAAAATTGTTATCGTAGATTACTTTGTAAGCTATTTAATGGTCTTAAATTTACCAGACTTGGAAACTGGATTTCTAAAAGACATCTCAGCCAGGAGGGAGGCTATCGCATGCGTCCTAACTGCACGATTTGTTAAGAAATCATAGGAGAACTGTTATTCAAAGCAGAGAGATAGAGGGAGTGTACAATGGAGGTAAGAGCTCAGACATATCACAACACAATTTCCTTAAACACGATTATTGGATATATCACGCCCCGTTAACACGTGGACAAAGACACATAGTTGTTATTACCCAGACCATTATAAACTGCATGACCGATGAGGCTAGCATATTTATGTTGCACTTTCATCAGTTCGAGATAAATTCTCCAGCAGGAACTTTTTAAGTGGTCGCGTACATTCTAAAAGCATTAGAAAAGGTTGAGGTGGTCGTTTATTGCCATTTGTCACAGCATTGCCAGGTTCGCCATGTGCCTACACTTAAGCGCAACGAGTCGTACGTAGGGTAAAAAACTATAAATGAATTCATGATAAACCTTGAGATTTTATTTAGGAAGTTAAGTGAATCAGAATTGAAGAACACAAAATGGAAAATATTCTCAAATTGATTCACAAGTATCATCAGAGCACTGAAACCTGTTTCTAGCTCTAGCAGATAGATGAAGAACGATTCAACAAATCGGATGCGTCTTACCTACATTTAATTTTTCTTACCATCTAGCCTGCCTGGTAGACCTATTATTCGTGTTGCATCTGCCATTCCAGAACTGAGGGGGTTAACTTCTGGGGTACCCTCATACATCATGTTTCCATTTTACTGTTGCCTAGACAAGTCAGTTCCAAATCTGGCTGATGAAAATGCTCCATAGTTGGGAAAAATGTCTTGATCGTGCTAAGAACAGTAAACCAGAGGTGAATTTTCATTGACGTCAACTGTTACTGTAAGTAACTCTCCCAGCCTAACTCAACTACAAAGCGACTACTCACTTTCTGCCAATCAATGGAAAATCTGTCCGCAAGCAGAACCTGAGTGAACGTAGGTGGGTACAAAAAGCAATCAACTTGAGAAATTATTAATAAACCAATGATGACAAATCTCTTCAAAAGGTTTAATGGCTCGCCACTTGCAAGTAGGCATTTAATCGAATATACTTCCAATGGAAAGTGCTTGTGAATCCGAAGAGAAATGCAATTTGTAAATAAATGTGAAGATTCAAAATTATCATTTTCGGGTTAAGAAAGTATAAGCATACCTATACAACGTTTAGTATCCTACAAATGCTACAAGAAGAAGTTTTGCCTCGAGATTAAGATCTCAGCATGATTGAAATGGAACATACTTTACCCAAATTCGTTGTGACCTGGAAAGCGGGAAAATGAGCCGTTTTATTACACTCACCCAAATGGGTCTTTATACAATACAGGAAAAGTGAACTTTTGATATCAAAGTACAAAACAGAGCATTTGATGAGGTGGAAGGTAAATCTATTTTCAAATTTAAATTAAACCGATATACAGTACGCTTCTGCCAATTCCCTGGGAAATTGGTCATATTCAAGAAACTCCTACAGAAGACAACTAAAAAGGTAGAACAGTGGGCAAAACTAAGGTAGAAAAGTTGCGTTGAATAAAATCGTGCACCTCAGAATGTTTCAGAATTCTAGGATATAGCATAAATGTCGTTAGCATTAAAAACGGGTTTCTGTAAAGTACCGTTCCCTGTAGGCCCATTATAAGCACTGTAGAGGGTTTTACAAGGAAAAATTAGAAGAAAATGTAGTATAATTGGATCTTGATAAAAGGCTACCTTTCAAAAAGTTTACAACGTTCTTAGCCTAGCATTCAAGCGTTGAATATTTGTATAAAAAAAGAAACGCGTTCTCTGTCTGTCACTTGTTTGAACTTGCCTTCGAGGATTGCTGCTCCGACGTCGACTGAGTCCACCACGGTTTCTGTTGTTAACATCACTGTTGCCATTGGATGCATTGATTTGATTTTGGACTAAATGGAAGGATTGCCAGCGTTTCAGTTCTTCCCTGAGGAGCACCAGACGCTCATGCAGTTTCTCATCCTCGCAGATGTCGAACACCGTCTCGCCGCCATTTACAGTTGGTGTATCCAATTTGGCACCAAAGTTGGTCAACATTTCTATCACTTCATACTAAACGGTTAAATAAAGACATTTAATTTTGAGGACACAGTCATCTTTCATACAGTACGGCATTTTGATAAACAAAGGAAATGCTATTTACATGATTAGTTGAAAATTGAGTTGGAAGAGTGTAACCGCGTTTAAATCTTCACAATGGCACCTTTTCCTTCATACAATAAAAAGAAATTCACTTTTCCTTACCAGGAGCATTCCAAGATCTCTTTTGCCGCTTGATTATTTGAACACTGAATGCAGTGGTTTAGACTTATTACAGTTGAATGTATGTATTCATGGCAATAATAGCCCATACCATTTTCAAATATTGGGAGCAAACCAACTGTAGAAGGGGTGCTTTTGGCTTCTGAAGAGCACCGTCTCAAACAGATGCATCCTACTTTGCCTTCGATAAAAAGCTTACGGAAAATTGTCAAATGTGCGTGTGCGTTGCTGGAGGTTAAAAGAGTAAAAAAGATGAGTATCTTACCTGTCCCCAGCATGCGGCCACATGAATGGCCATCCAGCCATCTCGGTCGGGCAAATCAATGTTCGCTCCATGCTGGAGAAGGAAGCCAACTACGTCCAAGTAGCCACACGCTGCCGCGATGTGCAACTGCAAATGCAATTTAACTTTTATCTTTTACGATAAAAAAGGCTGAACTCAATGCATTATATTTGCCACTTAAACATTACCAAACTATTTAGCGTTGAAATGCGTACAAAAAATCACCCTCAACTGTTAATGAGATTTTGTATTACTACTCATTCCGACCACACTTTTATTCATGACCGGCCACTTGCATGGAAAAAAATTGTTCCTCAGAGTATATGCATCAAAGCTAGACGCGAGAAAGCGCGTAGAGAAGCTGAAATCGTGAGAAAAAGGAAAATGGGAAATGTTTAAGCGCTATTGCGAGTGTGCACATTACCATACCTACGTTCGCTGATTTTGCAAAAAGAAATGAATAGCAAGCTAGTAAGGGATTTTTAGACCGTGTCTTGGAACCTCAAAGTTATGCTACCTACATTGAGGTCTGAGTACGAAACATGGAGTAACTGAATTGCAAGCTCATAATGAAGTAATTTGAGAGTAAGTAAAATTTCTAAAATGCTGTCAGTAAACGGTTGCTAAGTTACATGGAACCTATCGAGTCATAATAGAAACTGGAGTGAAAAAAAAACAGCTTTTTGAGTTCGTGTAAATTGATTATCTTAAGCCCATAAATATGAAGGAGTTTTTTTTTTTAAATTGCTGTGCTACTTTGCGTGACAAGGGGCATTCAGATATTCGCCAAATGTTAGCTATTTATTTTACGAGAAGCGCAATCCCTTTACATCCTATTCGCAAGGCTGTACGACAATTTAATGCCTTTGCGACATTTAATGTGAGCTAAATAGAACGGATCAAACGAAACAAAAAGATAATGGCCCAAAAAAAGCTCACAGGAGCCGCGCCTTGACTGTCAAGTTGGTTTAAGTCGCCGGAGGTTTTAACCAAATGTTCCATTGCCGCGAGCATTTCGCGCTCGGGAACACGACGTTTCTCGTCAATATCCTCCTGGGTTATGCCTGTGTATTAAAGAAAAAGATATCACGGTTTAAGACACCCGCTGAATATACAGGCCGTCTAATTGATCTTGAGGGTATAATGCATTTTTTGGACAAAAATCACGCCCATAGTGCATTATAAGCATTGGAACAATAGAGCAACATGTTTAGACTACAAACAGAATGTTTGATGTAAAACTTGACAGGGAAGTGAATAACTACCAGGCGTCCGGATGTAGGCTGAACCAGGAAACGAAATTGCCTAAGTAGCTTGAAAATGGCCTTCCGCTCCCTTCCGTTTTGCTAGTACTTTTGAGGACAGTTCCTAATGATCCTCTCAAATAACGCGAGAAAATACGTTGGACGAAATTCTAACTTATCCAATAAAAAATGCGCAGTACTTTGACCAAGAAAATTTCGGTTAGGTGAAAGTGTAATGACTTGATTCTGCATATTTTTCATTTTAATTGAACATTTGAGTATAACTCGTGTGTACATATGAAGAAAACCAAATAATTTTTGGGCTAAAATTGTCTCTACTAATGACGAAGACATAGATCGCGTCACGATCCACAAGTGGGTATTACCTCTGCTTGCCATTTCACTTTCAATGAGATCGAGGGTGGCGTCGTCTTCACAGATATCGTAGGGCATGTTCCCATCAGCATTTACGGCAAGGAGGTCGGCACCACTTAAAGGAAATGCAGCGTAACAATAAACAAAAGTCAAGCCAGCCTATCTGAAAAGAGAACTCAACTAGGCTAGCTTATGCTTATTTCTAGCCAAATAACACTTATTTTATAAGATAAAAGGTGGTAAATAAAAGACTTTATATGTTGCGGTATTTTTCAAACATTAAAAGGACTTTAAGTATTGCTGCAGCAGACTAAGATAGAACTTGTGTCAGATAAAGAAGTAAGTTTCTTCACCGACAGTTTGTGTGCGCAATGCTGTGTCGCTATAAGCATCTCCGCACCTATCCCACATGCATAAGTAGACTTTAACAGGAACATTGTGTAAAGGAGGATATGTCTACCGTTTCTGGTCGTAAATGTAATTTATGGACCTAGCAATCATCCACAGCTGCATAACTATTTGCGAAGTAGCGCACTTCGTCATGCCACGGAGATCTGTCGCTGATGCCTGAGAACATACAATATAAATGAAGCTGGGAAAAAAGTGTCACATTTCCCACACGCTGACTTTTACAGAACTAGTGCATAAATCTTCTAAGCGGATAATTTTCGTGTATTTGATGTCAAACTAAATGGGCAGCTTTCTGGCTCCTTTTCATTGAACTCCAAGACACCATCATATACATAATTCAAGGTGAGGGCCTAGCTTATATTTGCGTTTGATTAAAGTAAACGATCAGTAAATAGGGATATCAACCCTCTGTCTTGCGTCTCGCGATTCTATCTCCCCCTTATTTGATTGTTTGAGGGCCTCGGATTGTGATTTTCATTTAAACCAAAGGAATACCTTCGCCAATTTGTATATGTACATATAGTTACTGCTGCATAATGCGCTAATCTGAGTCACCTCGAAATAGTGGAGGGTTTTTTTTCAAGCCGCTTCGAAGTAGAAAAATCACTATCGAACCTTGAGGGTAAGCCACTGATTGAGAGCGGAGAAAGTTCGTCTACTGAGTAAACCTACGAATTCTTTGAACTAAATGATTTTGCCCAAATTAAAATCACTGAGGCACGTTCTCGATTTCAGTTTGGCTGAAACAACGCCCAGTTTTAGATCACCAATTAATATGCTTACTGCGAAAATGGAAGCCAAAATGAGATTCATGTGCTTAAGTAAATATCCCAGGGTTTTTAATGGTAAGGCTTGTTTGGCAGTATCTTGATGGGTTCGAGAATTGCACAGTAGCACTACCCTCTCATTCGTCAGGATGAGTTCTGCCTCCAAACTGCACATCTTTGGACTTCAAAGCATTGCGCTCCACCACTGATACCTTCCAACGTCCCATGTTTGTGAATTTAAAGGACTAATGATATGTTCTTAAAAAACCAAGGCTTCTTTTATAGTTTACTACATTATGTAGCTATCAGCGTCCTGGTAATAACGTTACACTAACAAGTGAAGAAAATTCTAGCACGCTAAAGTCCCACTTGCTTTCCATCAGAATAAAATTTAAGGAGTCCCCTTGAATTCTCAAAAGATTAAGTAGAACTCGCTTTATGAAATCTGAATTAATTTTGTTGGAAAATTTTAGTCCCTTAAATTGCTTGCAAAATAATGCGAACCTTGAAGAGATGAGAACAGATTTTTGCAAATGCAGCATAACCTCGAGAAACTCAACTAACTTACTGATATCTGCATTGTTTATTTTCTACTATGCTACGCGATTGCCCTGGCAACACCACAAAGTGACTCAATTCTGTCAGCAAGATCGTGATCACTGATAGGTTCGCAGGTGTCGCTACGGTTCGGCATTGCTTGAATGGTGCTTATACTCACCCGAATTTTTGCAACAGTTATGGTATTCATCTGAATTCACATGGACCAACATGATGGGGCGAATCAGCATTCGATATCATTTTTAATGGCACCTGGCTCTATCAAATTTGTAACAATTTTAGCTTCCACTTATGCAAGCTTCGGTGCTCTATCAAGCAATCTCTTATCCGAGTAAAGCATTTCACATTTGATTTGACTTGGCATATGAATGCCCAAGTGGAAGACAAGTTCTTCAAAAATATCACAGTATTTGGAGAACCCGTTCGTATTGGTTGAATCCACTTTGATGGAGCACCCAAACACCACAAGCCAGACATTTAAATAAACAGAAATTTGAGCTCATTTTCATGCATAGCTGTGCTTCTTGGTGTAATTTTTTCCCTCAATGGCGTAGACAAGGCCGAGAAAACTCTCATAACGCGTGCACCTCACTGATATTGGGGCGAGTTGCAGGAGTCGCGGAACCGACGGCATCGCGACTGCTGCATCGTCACGTGGAGAACAACCCTGCCTCACAGTGTGCGAGCACGTGCTGCGTAGCTAGTTGGTAAATCATTGAAAAAAAATTATCCTGGTTTTAATGCCCCCCGGTTGAAACAAGAGTAGAAAACATCCGACAGTACGATAGTAAGACGATTTTTACCAGTTGGAAAGTCTAACAAAAGCACATGACTGCCTTTTTATTACAGTTCAAAATAGAGAAAAGAAAGTCTGCAAAATCTTTAGAACTTCCATTCACTGAACCAAACCACTACCTCCATCTTTTATTACCTGCTTCACAAATTCGTGTAAATAAATTTGGGCAAATGTGTCTATAGGATCGGAATTTCTTTTTGTAGCTAAAAAGCTGCATTGGATGTTGCCTTTTGTTCAGTATACACGAGCAGGTAGTGCGACAAAGTTATCCGAAAAAAGCAGTAAACGCAAATATGAAACGACAGCGAAAATCTGACGAATATATTTTTGATGAATTAGTCACCGCTTCGGATTTATTATATTTCCCAAGAAGACAAGCCTGCGAATTCCACTGCAGTGAAACATTTTGCTCTTTGAAGTCAAGAAAAATTAGGCCTAGCTGATTCCATTTTTCCCTCACTTTGATATTTAAAATGCCTATTTTGCATGCAATTCTCCAATACTCGCTTGTAAGAATACCAGAGAAATATTGGGGACGCGAGTTAGTACCTGTCATTCCTACGTGAAAATTCTCGAAATGTCAGCAACCTCAGAAGCAGTATTTTTATTTCTGGGTCCTAAAGTTGCCTACAAGTTCCCTTTCTCGAACGTCCTAGGCCATTCATTGACTCCAACCTGATTGGCCAATAATTATGCGGATGCACTTTGAGTGTGCCAGTATTCGCGATCAGACTGTGGCCAATCAAAATACTGGAAATGCACGAGAGCGGGACAAGCCCACGGCTCAGCGCTCTAGCCAGCAGACGTGAGCGCAAGTGCTGTTTTTGCACATGCCTAGTCGATATTGGGGATCTCGTTTTACCGAGGTCTTATCTCCCAATTGCTCCCGCAGGGACACTGATGGTGTTCGTAGTCTCAAAAATGAACACCAGCTGTAACAGAATTTCGACTCACCTTTAGGTTCCGATATGAAGTCTTGTGAAATTCCAATAAAATTAGAATTTTCTTGTGACTAACTAATTCTAATTGCTTTACAAGGTTTTCTTACACACCGAGTTGCATATATCGAGCCAATGGATCAAAGCCAGTTGTTTGGCCTTCATAGTGAACAATTGTGTATACAGTTCATTAAACACACAAAACATAATCTCCTGGAGATTAATTACTGCCTTTAAATTGTAGAGTAGTGAGCGAATCTTTTGAAAATTGCCACTAATATAGTTACTAGCTTAAAGCTGGAACACAAAAACCATTTTTCATCACGACGCAGTCTACAAACATTCCTTTCCCAAGGGCGCGCTTCTATGATGCAAAGGAAGTGAAGAACCTACTGATGTGTATGGGACCCATTGGCTTGGTTCTCATGACTTTCCCCTCCCAGTCAAGGTAGTTGTGAATAGATTGTTGGTTGCGAGACTTAATTCCTCATAAAGCCAATTTCTTAAGCAATTCATCACCAGAACAATCAAACATGTTGAACTGATGACGTCCTCTCCAATTACTCTACGGACGCTACGAGAAGCTTCTGTTTTAGCTTTGAGACCAAGCTAAACACGATTTGTTAACCCGACAGACTTGAGACATACCCATTAGGTCAAAGCGACCTAGAGGTAAGGGGAATGAAGAATACAAGCAGAAGATTGTACGACCATGCTTTACAATGCACATGAATGAATGTCAATGTTCGATAAGTCCTGACAGTTAAAACAGGGAGACGAACAAACTTTTTCGCCCACCTGATTGTTAGACGATTTTTAAGCGTCAGTTCAGAGCTAAAAGCGCCCAGGTCAATGGATAGTTGAGCCTGACCCAAATCTATTCAAGAGGTCTATACTAGATACCAACCTCAGGCAATATTTTGTGCCAGCAGAGGAAACACCGACATAATCTAGACACAGCGTATGCATCTCCAATTTTTCGTTTTTGTCTCTTGTGCGAATACGTAACAGAGTAAGTCCTACAATCAGGTACATTAATGTCAATTATGACTAATAAGGGATGGTGGATTGCGGGTAATTTCGCGGACGAATTGGATAATTTCCGCGAATTATTGAGGCATTACTGCTATTTTAAAATTTGCGGTTGCTAGACCCATTCGCAAATAGTTTAAAATGGTATATACTTTAACGAACTGAACTGTAGTGTTGAAGGCCATCGCAGAATACATATCCCGATCGTAAGAAGTCTGGAACCCAGATGCACTTAATTTAAAAGAAATGGTAGTTTTTACGCGCTTTTTTTAGCGCAGCCGGCTTAATTTTCAATTTCCTTAATCATTACCCCTATTCAACCTGAGGAAGTTAGCAATTCATGCCAGTCACCTTGGGATTGTTTCCCGCAATAATATTCCTAATGCTTAATTTAAACGAACCAAATCAAGCACGTAAATTTATTCCATAAAGAAACAGTACGTTGGTTTTGGCGATAAATCCACTCCTGTCCAGTGCGCGCAGTTAATAATCATTTACGTTTTGACGAACCACTAGGATGTCACCGCGTGATTCGCATAGATGTAGATGTGAGATCTAACAGGTGCTACGTGGTAACAAATTTGTCACTGAGACAAACGACCTAAATCCGTCTCTTCCCCTTCATACCACACACTCTTCGGTCGTAAAACGCATACGCGCCCACCTGATATTTCCGTTTTATAAAGAAGGTTGTGCTCCTCATACTACTTGTAGTTTAATTTCTATTTGGTCGCTTACGACATCTCAGAAAGCGAAACAAGTGCAATATATACTGTTTTACACCTTTACGTTATAGGGATGAGCATATGCAAACAAAGACGTGAATTAGTGATTTTACAATTGCGTTTATGGCAAAGATAAGTGGACAAAGTATGAGGAACGTCAAAGAGGAAAGGAAAAACTTCACCTTATAACACTTTGTGCACTATACAAGATTTAAGAGACGCTTCTCTCATATCATCGTTATTGAAACCTTTAATGATTTCCCCACTTAAACATGTTGCTTTATATCATTATTTCGGCATATTGTAAACGGAAACACATTTGTGCCAAAACTGGGTATTTGTGGCTATATATTAGCGCTTTCTGCACCACCTCGTAAATGCGGCATATCGCGCATGTCGTCGATTAATACCGCTTTTCCGAACGACACCGGTTGAGTGGCATAAAAGGCAACAGGTTTTAGACACTAAAAACAAGTACAAGGTTTCTTGTAAACTTTTGAAGAGTATATTTAAAACCAAGTAACGAATTCAGCGACCTTTGTCTCCTCCTCCGATCTCTGCGTTTAGGCATCGCAACCACTTTTAGTAGAACCACTTAGGTGACACTACGCAGAGCATTCAGTCCAAGGGAAACAGTTAATAAATTTGTACCTCAAATGATTTAATCGGGCATTCAACAAGAGCTCTATTCTTCATCAAAGGCTTAGCTACACGCCATCGTCACACAGGCAGATTGAACAACCAGATGTCGTCAATTGCAGTGACGGAGGCTGAAATATGGAGAAGGAATTCAAATGGACACGGGTGATGACTCACTTATCGATGAGGAGTTTGCAAAGGTCCGCGTGACAGCAAGTGGCAGCCGCATGCAGGGGCGTCCACAGCTCCGTGTCCCGAGCGTTCACGTCCGCTCCAAAGCGAATGAGTAGGCGACACATCTCCTGGTTGTTGTCGATACAGCACTGCACCCCAAGTAGATGGCAAATTTAATGTCTTTTAATTTTCATGCAATGAAACCACCATAACCCTCCCGTAAGTGCAAAATATGCAGTCAATTGCAGTCTTGGTGCCTTATTTAAAATGAAAAATACAAATGCCAACAAGACCGATTTGAAATACTTAAATGTTTGACTTTCGGCCACTATCAATATTTTGATGAAACTGTCAAGAGATCAGAGAGAGACGCAACATTTTACCAAGCGGAAAGTCTTCCAAAACCTCGTGACGAAACTGTAATACAAAATCATGTATTCCAAATGCCAAGGTGAATTTCTGCGGCTGGAATTGGTTGGAAGACCTGGAGTGGATCGTTAATTATTACAGACGATAATTTGGGCAAATGAATAATGAAGAAATAATGCCGAGACTGAACTCAAAACCTCGCGATGGGACAGAAAAAGGAAATGGATAATAGAATAAGCCGATTAATATTGTTATTTTATACTATTTATTTAGAGAATGGTAAAAGATAACGCATTAACCTGTGTTTCAAACCCACTAATCTTATTCTTAAAAGTTCTTTTTTTGTGTTAGTTAAATTAACTATGCCTTATAGCATTTAGAATATATCACGCTATGTCAAGAATGCTTTAGGCCAAATTACCGGTGATGACAGTCCCAAATATACGCTGAACAAAAATACCCTATAAGCCATGTTACATAACGGCGTAGAGAGTACCGCCCCTAATAGGCAATGGTTCATTGAACTTAATGGCTCAGGAATTAATCCACGAGCATGAGATTTTACATCTTGAATGCACGAACCAAACAGTATCTGGTAGTAATAGACAGCTTACAAGTGTATTTTGACGTTTTAAATGACTGCAGTCATAACGCATTCCTTTTCGACGGTGGCAAGCCGAAAATGCCTTGAAACTAGCTAAAAGAAATTCGCATAACGAAAACGGGTGGCGCGAATAGCAGTTGAGGCAGAGAAAGGGACCGAGCGCAACAACTCAGAGGGTGAATCAACACCAGCTTACTTTTCGCACATAGTGACACTTAAGGTCGCCAAAGCAGAATTCACAAACACGAAGGAGCCGCCTTGAAACAGGGTGGCGTCGTTCTCACCCTCGCAATAAAAAAGCATGGTTTGTGCATTTGGCTGTGCAAACACCAAATTACCGCCTCCAACCCGATACTGGACGTCAAAAGTATCAGCAGCTGAGTAGTGAAGGGGTTCCATTTCCCCAATGGAAATAATACGACGGTGGGACGTCAGCTAAGCGTCAACGGAAGTTACTGCTGTCAAATGGCTACGTCCCTTGAACCAAAGGCCTACATTCGCAAAACGCAATGTCAATTAGCAAAGGGCGAGGGTACGTCGACATAGATAAGTGCGCTATTCAATTTGTTTGCATAAAGTAAATTTCTTATGAATTTTTGCTCACTACAACGGTCTAACTTTAACATTCATTTTCTGAATTTTATGCAAATCATTGATAAACTTTTACGTGATGGTTGGATTCGACAGCAACTATTGATAACCGAAGACACAAGGGACAGAAATCCAAGCTTACTGAATACTTTCCGGTTTGAAATGATGTTTACAGATGGATTTTGTCAACGCAAACCCCTCCTACGTGCATTACTAGTTGTTCACTTTCGACGCTCCTGAATAAGGTGATGGACGATCACAGCAGTTTGATAAATTTGGCGGTTAAAATGGACAATTAAGGCTAACACCAATTAAAAGATCCGCCAATTTCTCCAATGATTTAAATTATTTGGAAAATTGGCGATGCCTAGTAATATTGTAGCAGAAAGGGATCCATTAAATGACCCAGAGATTCAAAGAGCCGAACAATTAGCTGCTTTTAAACCAGTTTCTTGCTTTAATGACGAGATAGTTTATTCTAATTATCATAAGACAGTAAGCCATGGCCCAATCACAACTTTAAACCCAGCATATTTGCCGAGGAGTACACCGCAACTAACAGTAGGCAACAGCCGGCCTCCATATAACCACTAGACTTCCCATAACTTTGTGGCACCGCGCCAGTGAAGATTTGCTTGGGTCAGAGTTGGTGATAGGATGCTTCTTGATTGTAAAAATGAACACTCTTCCATAACACGGAGTCACTAAAGTAGAACATGCTCATGCCTTTTTAAATATCCTTTTTTATATAAGGTACCCGAATTATATCGCCTAAATCGTTTCTCGTGGACGTTTGATGTGAAATAAACTGTGATTTCGAAACCGAGTTGTTCAATCGCAGATGTCTGTGCCAAAAATGTTTTAAATTAGCATTACAGGACTGTGGAATGCAGTTTTTGGAATATTTCACCCGCAAAGCAGCACATTTTGAGCATGCTAATCAGATCAAGGGAAGGCCATCTGCGAAGAAGCTGTCGGTTGTACTGCAACTTTCGTTATGTGGAAAAGTGCACCCGTTTGGCTTTGATACCCTATTGACACAAAAAGACTTCTTTGCTCAAGAACTCTCCTTTGCACAAGTTGGCCGTATTAAAGTCACATTCAACTTTTATTTGTCTTATTCTTACTATGAAGTGATAAACGGTCGTTGTATCCACTGCAATAATGTAACGAGAAAAAATTCCGAACGTCATAAACAGTAGGGTTGGCATCACTTAACTCCGCATGTGTGGAGCATGGAAATGCACTTTAGCAACCCGACGAGAAGTATCTTAGCCCCTACTGAGTTCCCTTTGATCAAAGTTTTCTACAATTACCTTCAGATAATGGAGTTTAACAAAAAATTCTTTGCCCTGATGACAGGGTTTTTTTTTCTAGTGTATGTAAGCATTGCGAGCCATTTATATACGGAGTTGGCAAAACAATTGGGGCACCTCAAAATGAGGGTTTGAAATTTATCAGTGTCAACGTGATTCATCAAGCTGGCACTTGTGAGGGTCATTGTGATCGATTAGCATTGCCGAAATCATGTTTAACTGACAAGGTCAAAGCGTTGCAAATTCCATTTCTAACGAATGGCCAAAACGGGTGTTAAGAGTTGCCTGGGGAATACAGAGCCCATGATCTAAGATCACAAGATTTCTATATGATAAAAGGATTTTAAATTTGAGTGTATAATATATCAATTGACATACGTCACCACGTAATTTTAGACAATTACCTTTCTATATCAATGTTTGGCAAAAAAAAGTTTTCTTGGAATGAGGATTACAGTGCTGAAAAAATGCATTTGATGTAGGCAATTGTCTACTACACGGTAAATTGGCGAAGAGATATAATTCAGTGAGGTATTTAGATATGTAGATCACAGGCTTCAAGGCTATCAAAATGAAATGACGCAACACAACTTCTCATCTCTTCTATGCAGCATATTTTGTGAAAATTCATCGGTAGAATCAACCATTTTCCACACGTAAAATATGCGTTTAAGTAGCTTCATCACTTTTTAATTGTACTAGTTTCCTTCCAGAACTAGCACTCCAAATCGGCAAATGGTATTGGACTTGATAAAAAAATGTGGACGAACTAACCACCTGTGGGGAACTATAAATAAAGCGGAAATGTCATTTTAAATGATTTCTGAAAGCTCATACACCTTTCGCACTAAAAGGAGTTTACTCACAAACACACTTTGAAAGGAGTTATTATACAATGAAATGTGATTTACCTCTTCGTTGAATTCAGGAGAAACACAGTTGGTTTTTTCCATATCTTAGATATTGGTAGCGGTGAAAACTCAATTCCAAAACACGTTATCGTACCAAGATCACACTTATCAAACATTTTTGAAGAAATTTATGCGAATGCTTTTCGAAATTGTATAAGCTATAGCCTCACAAGTTAGTATTCCTGTCTACAATAATGGAAAGAGAGAACATATTTATCTGCCTATTTTTCTACGATGGAAACCATATATCTGCAGTGATCATATGTTCACTAACATACAAATTTAGCTACTCAAACCGCTCGATTCTCGCGGTTTGAATTTCCGTCTTGTCGGCATGATGTTCCGGTCATGCTCATAACCAACCAGCCCTTCTGCACGCTGATAACAAACCGCTTTTCATGCTGGCATGTCATATTACGACCGCGCGCGGGGGAATGTGGGCATTATATGCATATATGTGTTTTTGTTGATTTGAGCCAAACTAGAAACACCTCAAAGTCAAAGATGTGGAACAAAGAAGACCTGATAGACTGACTTTTGTTTGGACAGCAATAGCATAGTCGGTTGGTTGTTGAGTTTGAGGCAGTCAAAAGATAGTCATGTTGGCCATAGATTTTGCCCTAATTTCTGTATACCGACCCAAACCCGAGGTTCAAATAATAAGTCATGCTAAAACGCATCAACCTATCCAAAATAAGAAATAAGTCTTTTTGGTTTAGAAGAGTAAAACACATAGCAAGAGGTAAAGTTTAAGAATGCTAATGAGCCTTTAGGTACTTAACTGATACTAAAATTCATCGTCGGAGCTTTCATGATAAATCATACATTCGCGTCTTGGCATGTTCGGTGGACTAAGTCAAAATCATTTTGTTATTGTTTAACGATTTAAAACAAATAAAAATGACATAAATTATCATGGGTGGTGAAACGAGGACGTTATTTTAGTTAAAATGTGTATAAAACTTATTTTAAGCAGCCATCACAATACATCCGAGGAGGGATTGATAGAAATCGCATTCCATCGAAGTTTTAAAGTAGCTTTTGAGAATGTGAATGTGTTACTCAATGAACGTACTTGATGCAATGCCGTCAATCCGTCCATGTTTGTCACGTTGGGGCAAACGCCTTGGTTTAGCAATTTGCGCACTGAAAGGTGCATGAAGGGATTATTGTTTGTTGAGAGAATCACTACATTCCCATAAAAATATTCATTCAAAGGCGTCAAAGCATGCGGGGAAGATCGTAAATGAAAAATTATTGTTTTTAAACCTGTGAGTCGCTTTTACCCCATCGGAGCCCAAACTCTCACAATAAAATAAACTGTCTGCATATCTAAATGCACATTTGGTAAATGAATTTTTTCCGAGGAAGATTCATTTCTTTCTTAGTGCTGTTGCATAGCTTGCGTGTTTCAGAGGATGCAGTTCAAAAGAATGTGAACAAGTAACAAATTTAAAAAGAAACACCTAAAAAGTGACATAATCTTGCTCACTTGTGCGCTTACTAGAATAAAACAGCACAATTGCAAAGCATTCCCATAACCTTCCTACACTTTGGTAGAAGACAGAAAGAAAGTACATAGGAGCTGACAGTCTAAATACTTGCTAAACACTTTTTCTTAAAGGTCCGCTCACGTCGGCAGACTCAGCTAACAATTTCATCCCATGCACCTACAGATTGTAGGCAAATCCCCGCAAATTATTAGTGAAAGGCATCAGTTTCATGGACTTCAAATCATTTTAACAAATGAAAACATTAAATATCAACTGTATCCGTATCAATTTGTTTCATGATGCAGTTGAAGAAGGAGATTTTGCGAACCATGCTTAAAATATAGTTGGTTTCCAAACGAGAGCGAAAGCGATTTGATGTGAGAATAGCAGGGTACTGTGATTAAGCCATAACAACAAAAAAGGGGTAGGATAAAGGATAAGCCAAAAACTTATGAGGAATAGTATACAAATGAAAAATGTCCTTAAATCTCCCACTGCTTCACGGTGCTGTGTTCGGGCTTTCAATTTTGACAACCACGTTAAATCTCCGAATAGAGGATGGCTTAAATGAATGCACTAGACGCACTCGTAGACTCTGGGGAAAACGTTAACTTGTAACCGCCTAGTTTAATCCAGGGAGCGCATTTGTAAGCGTCGAAGAGTTAATACTTTATCGTAATTGTTGTGCTAACATAGAGTTTTTTTTTCGTTTTCGGCGCTGCCCCAATTTACATAAGGATCAATGTGGAATGCATTACACGATGCCTGAGTGACTGCATGTAATCACCTTTGGCTTGACTTATTTTAAATGACCATAGACATACAAACTTATGCAAGAGGAATAAGTTTGACGTACATTCTAAAAAAGGCTTCTATTATAACGGGGTAAAATGACGGCTGGTGAAATGAGAAAAACATCTCATTGTAATAATCAACACCAAAATTCCCCAATTTTGTCCATTTAAGGCAATGTTAATGTTCGAAAAACAGGATAGTATAGACAATTTTCTAAGGTTGAAACAATATCGCATGTCACTAAGTTGGCAACATTAATAACTTGGGTATGAGAAGGCGAGGATATAGTCGATTGAGGCAAGTAAGGCAAAATAAGATTAAAATCCTCACATTTATCCGATAATACAGCAGCAACGCACTTATTAAAGTGCCAAATGGTTATGCTTCATATAAAAAGGGATTGGATGATAAAAATTTAAGTTTACGAGCCATAGTGCGTAAAGTAAAAGCGCTATATTTAATCAAAATGAGCCGATCAAAGCACACTATTGCAATACATTAGAACAAATATGACGTTGGGCTTTAAATGCTCATGTGAACACAACGTGACGAGAGATGAAAAATCCTCAGTTACGTTTGATTGACTATTCAAGATCCAGGACAAATTACGTGTTAAGAATAAACACTTCAAAACGTTGCACTGCCATTTCCCCCACTTCAAATGTGAAGTAAATAAAACATAGCTACTAAAAAGAGTTTGTACGTATTTACCAACAAGCACATGCTAAAACCCCGGAAATTCTTAAGAAATTTTGACCTGCGGCAAATAAAGAAGCGATTCCTGCGTAAACTAAATGATGAACACACCATGATATTTGCCTTAGTAAAAGAATAAGAGGTCAGGAAATGTAGTGGGAAAAGTTAGACTGCTGTCATTTGATCAGAGTGCAAACATAGAAAAGGTTACAGTATGGCAATATTAGTGTTGTGGACATTTTTGGCCGCAAAATAATTTTTATGATACTCGTAAACACACTAAGCACTGGCCCTTTTCAAAATGGCGCAAAGTCCAAACTGTAACGATCGTTGAATATTTTTATCCTTAAAGTTTTGTAGGTAACAACCACACTCCTTGCTAATTTGATGCAAAGCAAAAACCTTTGCAAATTATTCAAGATGTTTCTCCATGGCCTTAAATAAAAAGACATTAATGAAAATACAGTACAATTCGTATTCAAGGTGATCGTCCACGCTAAAGACGCAATGATTATATGCAGGTAGTAAGATCAATTGGCGAATCAATGTCGAAAGACCAGACCGTGCATTTGTGTAAAGTTGTTAACGATAGAAAAATAGATGACAAAGTCCAGGACTGTTAAGCCATAAAAAAGGGTTAGCTATAATTGAAAAAAACCATCATATCATTTGACTCAAAAAAGCAAACAAATAAAGCACATAAAAAGTCTACAATCCATTTAATATTGCAGGATGCATAAATAGAAAACAATTGTTTCAATTTAGACCAATAAGTGTATTTTTGGCTTTGCCGTCAGTTAAAGTTTATATATTTGAGATAAAGTAAATTGCCCAGAAAAAAAAAACAGAAGCCAATCGTTTAAAGTATGCAAATGAAAAAAAAATTACCCTCGTTCAAATCATCTCGAGCAGCAGCTTCTAAAAGAATGACTGCCTGCGAAAACTGAACAGAGCGCACAAAACCAGGATGTTGACGTCCACCAGGCGTAGAACCTGGAGGAGGAGACGTTGAGGTACGGGTCCTCTTCTCCTTCTTTTCCATTGTTTTGTCATATTGAACCCATCGTTTAAGTTGTTGTTGACGCTTACGACGGGCAGCACGAATCCTTTCCATATCTGGAACACGCATGGCTGGTACATCGCAGCTCTCCAATGCGTTCATCTCACCTAAAAAAAAGTAAATATAAAAACAACAAAAACGAAAAAAATAATCAACGTAGCTAAGCAGACAGTTACACACAAAAAGGTTGCAAAGTGACGTTAAATATAAACCAAATTCTTAAGGTAAAATGTGCTCAAAAAAATATATGGCTGCCTACTAAAAAAAAAGTTAAACCCTAGCAAACTAAACAAACAACATCCATTGCAGTAAAACGGGTACAATAAAAAGCAAAATCATCCCAGAAATAGACAAGCGCATCCAAAAACAGGCGCTCAAACAAACGAGTGTAACGACCTAACACACTAAAATAGACAAACAAAATGACATAAAAATTTAAATGCAATAAATTTAAAACAACTAAAGAGTAAAAAATTGAAAAGCTAAAAAAAGTGCAAAACTAAGGAAAAAAGGATAAAATATAGAAGTATACAAAGATGATTACACAAAAATTTTACCTAATGCGTATAGTAGTGTGCAATTAACGCAGGCTGCTCAAAAAAGCACAATTTTAGGCATCACGAGAAAAAACACAGAAAAAAGGACCTGAGGTAAAAAGTTGCAAACCAAAGGAAGGAAACACTTAAGATCAGTCCAAAATAG